GATGAGTTGTAGTATGGTGCTAGGAGTGGCAAGGCTCACTGACGATGCCGGCGAACGCCTGGGAATATATCAAATCCACAATCGTACTCTGAAAATTCTCATCCATACTATGGATTCCGGAGAATGTGCGTCCCTATAGGTCTTCCTGCCAATAAGACCTAGTTGCGAAGACAATGTTAAACAACTTCTAACTGGTCTAAAGTTTACTTCATCGTTTGAAACTTTTCTATCAGGCTTGTATTCACTTTCACCGCCTTAACATGATTTGCTCTAGTAATGCTTACATAAAAATCATTTTAGCACAGTTTACACCGTTTCTGCATAATCATCTAGTCCTGAAAAGAGTATAAATAACTTTATTATCTCAGGGTTATAGGACGGCCAAATTTATCGTTATGTTTATTTATAAGTTTTCAGTATACTATTTGTCTTCGGCTCTTAAAAAGTGTAGTTTTATTACATTCATTCTACTTTTCTTTGTTCTCAGCTTGAGAGTATATTTTTGGTTTAACTTTTGTTTTTTTCAAGATCTTATGTAGAAAATTCTTTCTTTAGGCATTCTCATCGCGAGTATACTAGCTTTTTCATTCCATGTATATCGAATTAGCCTTTTCTGGCCCTTTGCATAATTTCCCACAGGTCTCTGTCTTTTTATTTCTATCTATGGAGTATGCTGGTATAGTTGAATTAATTTTAACCAAGTACCAAGTCCGCGGTCTGACGTGCCGAAAGTTTTATAGCACACTACATAGATCAAATTAATATACTAGTTGAGCAGCACCCTGAGGTACTGCTTATGAATAGGTGAGTAATAATATTATGAGGAACCTAAGAGACAAGAAATAAATTGTGTTAAGGACAGATAAAGGAGGAGCAGATTTCGTTATGTATAGGGTTAGATGTATACAAAATATGATGCGGCCATCAGATGATGTGGAAACATACAAGATTATTAGTAAAGAAACTACAGAAAATCCTAAGTCTAGACTGAATGGCTGCTTGCAACTCTGTGTAAAACGCTGAGAGCTGGATAAGTCAACGATAAACATACTCATTCAAGCAGGTCCCAGAACCCTGAATGTATAGGGTATGGCGAAAACAAATAAAGAATTACTCCCATTCAGAAGCATTGAGTTAGGCATAAGATAAAGCGATTTATTTAAAACCAAATAAGGGGAATTATTAAGACAGAAACAACTCACTAAAGAATTCGTCAAGTTATTCGATAAGCTTTTAAGTTGCGGAACGGGTTCGATGCATCCTAACTCTTCTGTAAGCAGGGGTAATCAAAATATAAACTTCTCATTAAGTCATCACGCGGAGATTTTTATGAGTGAAAAATTAGACAAGAAGTTAATCATGTATGTGCCGATTTTAGTAATTAGCTCTACATATTTTACTTTTAATACTATAATACCTATAGATTATAAACACAATGGCTTAGCCTAGATTTGCACTCTCGTTTGACCTCAATTATACAAAATAACTATATGGCTCAGTTGAAGGGTCGTCTAATACAATAAGTTCTTTTGGTTATAATATTATTAATTGAACAGTCTACATGCATGGTAAAGAAGAACTTCCATTACTTTGTGTCGTATAGATGTCTCTTTTACTTTAATTTTACATCTATTTTATATCTTTTTTTCAGGTGAATGTTGTCGATTTGTTTAAGGAATTAAGCATAAAGCACACGGGTATAGAACCAACCTCGGGCACCAACATGCCTGCTACATTTACTCATATATCTAATGGTTACGATGCTCAATACTACGGCTATCTGGTAAGCTAAAATACGAATAGTGCTTATAAAATGACTTTTGAAAATTAATTTCACTTAAGATCTTGTAATTTTGATTGCCTCAGACGATAGCTGAATCTGCTGACTGAAAGCTTCCAGACCGTCGGCTTAAGTAGAACTCATCATTTCGTAAAATGAAATAAGCTGTCAAGCCCCTTTACATATGAATCGTATTTTCCTAGTTAGATAGGTTTTCGTAAATAAATTTAGCCTGGGTTTCGATTTGTATTTTATCACAGCAGGGGCCATTTTTGTAATGCAGCCTTTCTAATTTGCATTTGCCTTGCTATTTTTGACTTGCTGAGTTTTATGGGCGAAAAATTCAAATAACGCCTTTTGACACATGGATTTTAAGAGTGTTATTTACATGATTTTTTCTAACATTCTGATAAAATATGGAGATCTGATTATAATTTAGGGATAAGAAGCCTAAACCTACCAAACAAAGTGTGTATTAGAATTGTCCAGCTAAATAACAAGTTTTTTTGGCAAAACTATTTCGCTGGCCTATTCCACCACTTTATTAAACGCAACAAGGATATTTTATGTATAAACATTTCAACCCTAGTTTAAGCGAAAATTATGATGCCCTCTATTACTCAAGTTATTTCTTTTTGGCTTCCAACAATTCACTGTTTCGTATACAAATATATCTTTATTCGTTATCCCAGTCTTTATTATTTTTAAAATTTTATCTTACAGTGGAGCGAGGTGTTTAGCGCTGACCTCTTCGAATCCCGCTTTCGTAATGCTCCTGATAGGGGTTGCCTAAGTCCCATCGTCGGCAGGGAGTATCGAGAGAAGATTCTTGCACCAGGTGGTTCGCGTGATGCTGCAGACATGTTGCGCGATTTTCTTGGTCGCGATCCCAATGAAATGGCCTTCCTCAGGCAGATTGGACTTAAGCCTGAAGATAACACATAAGCCCAGAAACAAGCTTCACCTGAGAGAGATGAAATGCTCGTAATATTAGGGTTATGCTAGTCGAAAACGAGTCAAAGTTTTCCTCATTTCGAGGTTCCGTTTGTTTGCCAGTTATCTTCAAAATGATTCCTTTTTGATCATTTTAAATTATTAAATACGATATATATGGATTCTTTTCGCACCTTTTTGCGTATAGCTATAAAATCTTTCTTGTTTGCGTTTAGGTGGTTTTTTATGTTTCAAAACCATATTTCTTCACCTCTTGCATTTGTGTTGCAACTGACAATCTCAAACTTAAAATTATTCTTTACTTAAACTTGAATTCG